CGAGTTTCACACTGATAGTCTGCTTTGTTTTGGGGTGAGAACTTCGCGGATTTGCATATCAACAGCTCAGGCAATCATGTTCGAGTCCTTCCAGTAGTCCAGGACAATAGGTTAAGGGCCATCATAAATGGTTTAAACAGTCTTGGTGAGAATTTCAAAATTTTAAACTATTCTCATAAAAGGAGCTTCCTCATAATTGCCACATAATGATTATCCGAATCATGGGTTAACTTCCTCTTCTTTTTCATTCTGTTTGCTCACTCTGTTTCTGGTTTCTCTTTCTTTTGCGTATCCGTCTTGTAAATTAGTTATATGACTGTTCAGTACATGGCGGGTAGAAGACTGTACTGATGATTCCTGCACCTACATGCGTACGTAATTCGGCTTGTATTAACAGCTAAGGGATGAAATACAGACTGCATCGTAAAATTGCCTCTGGCATATGGCACTTAAGTCCAGTCCCTCGAATAGAGGGACTGGACTTAAGTGCCATATGCCAGAGGCAATTTTACTTCCATACACCACTATTCCAATTGATCTTGTTGTTGTTTAGGTTTCTGAAAGTGATTTTTGATGAGGTGAAGCCATTGCAAGAGAAGAATGAAGGAGACAAAGCAGCAGTTTTGAATGCTGTTGCCGCATCGCTAAATTTCATTGGGAAAAACTCATGGCAGCCACGAATCAAACCACAAGATGTTGAGGTAAGCTGTTCAGGGATTCGGCAATCGCAGTTTTGTTAACATTTGCCGGTTCTGCTTTGCAGATTTGCTTTTTTCCCAAAATGAACGATTCTCTTGTTCGTATCGTTGCAACTTCGTTATAGTTTTAGCGCTAAGGTAGTTCCAGGCAATTTTAGATGATTTAGCTATAACACAAAAGTTCTGCTCTCCTCCGCTTCTGTATGACAGTTTTTTAGGCTGTTATGGCTGCTATGAAAAGTTGGCTGGAACGAATCGTGTCCCCCGTTGTTTTGGTATCAATATTGGAAATTTGCTTGGCCGTTGCGCAGTATTTTCCGGCTGTTTTCAAGCAGAGTTTTGACGTATGTACATTTATATTTGGAATTCTTCTTACACAGCTGTAATTAATTTATCGTCTTATCTTCAACTTATCGTCAGCTAGTAGCTCTTCGGTTTGCGCTGACCATGCTGTATCTTCTGGTGGTCAGTTTGTTGGCGATCCTAATGTTCATTTCGTCTCCTGAACGGTTTAACGGCAGCTCAACGGTTTTTCCAGCAAGTGCTTTTGGCAAGACTTCAGCCATTTTCATTCTCTTGATGGGTATGCATGTATGTGTGTAGGTATGTATGTACATGTGTATGTATATGTGCACGTATATATGTGTGCAGGTGTGTGTATAGGTGTGCGTGTACATATATGTGTGTGTACGTATATATTTACATATATATGATGAGCATCACTATTTTATTTCGGGCGTTCATGCTTCTAGACCGCTGTGGAATACCTCGGTGACTAGAAGGATTTTAGTCATAAAATTTATTAAAATTCCGTTTACGGATTGG